TAAAAAGAAAGAGGTGGTACTCAATTCTATATAGTGAGCAAACCTAATTTTTGTTTTAATTTTATATTCTGGATTGAAAGTTAAACTTACTAGAATTCAGAATGTATTTTAAAAAAATTTGATGCTTATATATCCTCAAATTTATCACAAGTTCATCAGAAGCATCAAATTTTTTTGAAATACATTCTAAGTTCTAGTTTTAATTCTAGCTTTCAATTCAGAATATAAAATTAAAATAAAAATTAGGTTTACTTACTACATAGAGTTGAGCGCCAACTCTTTCTTTTTATAAGTTTTATAATATTTTTATAAAGAGAATTAAAACTCTCTTCCCTTGAAAACGATAATGAGTTCTCTCTCTCTCTCTCTCTCTCTCTCTCTCTCTCTCTCTATATATATATATATATATATATATATATATATAGAGAGAGAGAGAGAGAGAGAGAGAGAGAGAGAAGTGAGGTCTCCCAGATGTCTCTCTATTGCATAAAGATTATGTAATTCATATTATTGAGATAAATTCCGTGATATCAACACATGTCGAGAGAAAAGCAAATACGTTTCGTTCCGATAACAAATGTTCTAATTTCGAGATCATGACGAATTCATGTTCAATGATTTCTCGATGTCAAGGTAAGAGTCCAATGCCCGAACACGTATCTAATCTTGGACATTCTGATTGTTTTGGTCTTTACATACGAATATTTAAACTTTAAAGTGTACATATATGTATACAAAAAATATATATATATATTTTTTATGTAGGGAACTTAAAGATTTGTATTTTTAAAGAACAAAACAAGAACGCCCAGGATTAGGTAAGTGTCCGGGGATTGATACTCTTTTAGCTCGTGTGCCTTGTGGTCTTAAAAAGTTTTGCCAAGCACTTTGGACGTACCACGTATACTGTATCTTGGCACACTCGCAAACGAAACGTTATGTATGTGTACATATCAGCGTACACCATCGCGTTGTACGCTTGCTCCGTACAACGGCCGGCTTTTATGACACGCTCGATAGGTATGCGCGCACATGAATACACACGTGAAGCGGGAAAAATGAATGAAGATGACATCCCGGAGAGGTCAATAGCCTCTCACGTGTCTGAAGATCGCCGCGATACAACTGTACGATGTTGACGATAATGACGTTGACGGTCAATTAGACCGTTATCTCAGAATTATAACGGTCTATCCCGAACGTACGTTTTACGCTTAACACTTTGACAGCCGCTGTCACGTACACGTGACTTCACTCTGTCAATGCCAGTCCCTTCTAAGGGACTATCTCTCGATTATAATAATTTGCAATCGCAATATTCACGAAGCTGCGTATGATTATGTGCACAAACTTATACGTACAAAGAGCATGCTTGTCTCCTGAAATATCATCCAAACGAGTTCTCGAAATTTATCCACGGCATTCGAATATTTTTCCGAGATAAGCGCAGTATCAGTGAATGCGACCTGATTCTCAAGCTGAAACAACGTGATTCTCATGCAAGACGAATACAATTTTGGGACTGCTGGACGGTCCCGCACTTAAGGCTCCTGGAGTCGCATCATCCATCTCTTTTTAATGACGTCAGAAGCGAGAAAACGCATGCTTGTCTCTTTAAATATCATCCAAACGAGTTCTCGAAATTTATCCACGGCATTCGAATATTTTTCCGAGATAAGCGCGGTATCAGTGAATGCGACCTGATTCTCAAGCTGAAACAATGTGATTCTCATGCAAGACGAATACAATTTTGGGCCTGCTGGACGGTCCCGCATTTAAGGCTCCTGGAGTCGCATCATCTATCTCTTTTTAATGACGTCAGAAGCGAGAAAACGCATGCTAAAAATTCCTGCAAAGTACGTCGAGATAAACAGATATATTCACAAAACGACATTTGCGATTGATTAAGTACACTTCTAAAATACTCCGTACACTTTCTTTTTGTTCTAACAATCAACAGATAATTATAAAATAAATGTGACGTGCAATCGTCTTTTCTAACCTAATTTCCTCATTATCTTGTCATATTAATTTTCCGATTATCTATTGATTTTTAGAATAAAAGGAAAGTGTACGGAATATTTTAGAGATGTATTTAATCGACCGTAAATGTCGTTTTGTGAATATATCTGTTTATCTTGACGTATTTTGCAAGAATGTTTAGCATGCGTTTTCTCGCTTCTGACGTCATTAAAAAAGAGATGGATGATGCGACTCTCCAGGAGGCTTAACATTAAACATGCGCGCGCTCAGAATACGACTAATATATACGAGTACTTCACAATGATACCGACAAGACTCGGCAGATTATTCTTTTCCGTGGTTTACGTTTACGCCTATTTCTCTTACGGTATTCACATCGTCGCTTCGGACGTGGAGCAACGACGAGTGGCGGGGAATTCTGGGTATTTTCCTTGGGTCGCACATACGGAGGAGATAGTACTGTGTTTGTGCATACATGTATGAACTCTTGCATATATCTAGAAGCAAGTCCTGTGTCTTTCATCTGGTGGTTTTCTCACCCAGGAAATTGAGAAGTCCTATCAGTCGCGCCAGAATCAGACTCAGTGTATCTCGTTTAATCGGAACAACGGACGTAATTCTTCTATGACTAAAATTCTTCTATCGTGACTAAACGATATCCCCCGCACGAGTATGGGGGATATCATTTGGTCACGATAGAAGAATTTGATAAAAAGTATTGAGATAAAGTATTTGAGTATAAAGTTTCGAGTTTTGGTACGAGTATTAAACAAAAAGACGGATGCACGGGAAAAATAATTCTGTTGGTGCAACCGAATTTTCGGTTGCTCAGGGATCAGACGAAAACTCAGCTGTAGGAACAGAAAAATTTCTTTATGAGGTTTATGTATAGTTAATTGTTCTCAGTTGCCCCAACTGAGTTCTAATGTCGTTGAATGTTCAGACGAATATTTTCGGTTGCGACAACAAAAATATTAGTTTTCATAACAGAGATATCGCTTCTGATTACATAATTTTCAGTTGATTCCTATTTGTTTACATCAACTTTTTTTGCGTGTGCAAGAGTAAACAACTCGTTAAATAATGCTCAGTTATACATGCTGTCTCGTTAGCGTGTATAACTGAGAACACGTTAAATTGTGACTTTTATATATAATATACTTTTATCGGCATTTGTTTACCTCGTTAGAAATGTTTTATATACTTGCATATCCGCTTTAATTCACTGCACGCGTTTTATTTTCCCGCTGATCACATCTCGTTTTCACACCTGTATCGTGCCGGTTCACGGCACGTCGACACGATCTATCGATTGCGATAGACTTTCGCGATTATCACGATCACGTGAAGACAATCGGTGATGTGAAAACTTTACAACTTCTTTAATTACACTTATGAAGTATACTGCAGTGAATCGATCGTTCTTACATCACACAATAATGTAAATTCTTTGTCATATTTATGTAGCGACAAATTTATCAAAAGTTGCACATTCTTATAAAATATTTAACATGGCGCATTAATTGAATTTTGATAATTTTGTTATTGTATCTTCTTCGTGTATACTTCTTTCTCATTATTTTGTGTGACAAATGTAAGTGCCATATGAAGTACTCGTGAGGAATACAATCTTTACAAATTATATGAGTGATAAAATTGCGGTCAAATTTGCGTGCATTTGTCTATTTGGGCATAGTTGACTGTTTTTCTCACGTTTATGGAGCACGAGCCATTCTCGTTCGAGTGGAACACAAGAAAGGATTGCCTCGGCCGAGGAATGTTAGACGTTTCCTTTGTAATGTTGGGACTCTAAGCTTGAACCGAAGTACCTGTCGTTTAAGGACAACCCTCGGGGATCCTCGCTTCTTTGTACAAAAGCCATGATCTTTTTTTTTACAAAAGCATTGAAATTTGACCTGCGTAGCATATCTGTGTCCTTATTTGAAAGTTGAGGGAAGTCGGAAAATGCCTTCTGTGTACACCACAAAGCAAACAAACGCCTCGAAATTATCTTAAAAAATGTTGTGACACCTATCGATTATCGCACTGTGTGCCGAGAATAATTTGTACAATTACAGCGCTCATTGAAAACGCAACGAAAAGACAAAAGTAGGAAATGAGATAAGGGAAAGCAATATGACGACATATTTCGTCAGTGATGCGCGAGTGAGGCGGACACATCACGTGATCCCCGAGAACTTTGTACTTCGTAACGAAACTGCCTCGGCGATGAGAGAATGTCCGAAGCGACGCGAAGAAGGCTTACTCATTCGAACCTTACGCGAACGGCCGCTCCGACCGCGCTGCGGCCTCTCGGACGCCGAGGCACGGCCGAGGAGCCGGCTGCTCTCCGCAGCAATTGAGGTCGATTAAGCGCGCGGCTGCCGTAGAAGCACGCGCGCGTTTCTCTGCGCTCCGCGCGAGATCGCTCGTTTCAAATATGACCGGATGATGCACGCGATGCCGCAGCGTCCGCTGTTAATCGCCAATAGTTGTCGATCGATTTCGCGCGCTTTCGCCATAAATTTTGCTGCGATCGGGAGAGAGAGAGAAAGAGAAGGCAAGAGAGAGTGCAGAAACTGAAACAATTTTCGAGAGGTCCAACTTCGGTGTCACGTGGTATGCGAAGGCCGCCCCTCCTCTCTTCCCTTTCAATTATCTCGCGTTTCCATTGTCAACGGATGAACGTCGAAGATGATTTTCCTGTGGCGTAAGCCGTGCTTCAGGACTAGTTTCGTCGGAATTCTACCTGCCCTTCCCGGTCTCCAACTGCGCGAGTGCCCGGACTCTCTACGGCCGCGTCGGTGTCTCTCTTTCATGGCGGATGAGCGAGTTTCCAGATACACGGACGGGCAATCGTCGTCACGCTCGCACGTTGCGTGCGTTTGTTACCGCGGTCTTGCATTCCCACCCTGTGCTTATTTCCAGCAGCGGTGGTGGAGTGAAAATATCCGTGTTCTAGCGCGAAAGAACCACCTGCCGCACGCGGCTCCCTCCCTGCTCGTGAGACACAATACCTTCTGCTTCTCTGGTGCGATGTTGACTTCTTGTTTCTTCAGGAGTGTGCCTCGTTGTTGTCGTTGCTGTTATCGTTGTTATGTTGTCGTCGTCGTCGTCGTCGTCACTGCTGGCCGACGTCGCGATATATCCACCACCGATCAACACCGTGCCCGTGCGTTTCGATTCGTCGCGACTCGCGTCGCGTGTCGTCTGAAGGTGAGCGCTCCTGCTCCGCTCGAGCGAGTCGACGAACGAGCGGTCGATCGATCGATCGATCGACCGGTCGATTACCGGCACTCGTGATGATAGCTGACCACGTCGACGATCTCCGACGCGATCGAGTCGAGTTCACTCGACGAAGGTGGCCGAAGGGCGCGCGGTGAGGGAGAAAACGCGCACTGGTGGTGAAGTGTGACGTCTACTTGTAAAGATGAAGGAGACAGAGAGAGAGAGAGAGAGAGAGAGAGAGAGAGAGAGAGAGAAAGAGAGAGAAAGAGAGAAAAACGGATCGTGAATGATGCCGATTCGAGCGACGCGTTCCTCCTTTTCTCTGCTTTCCTTTCTTCCCTCTCACGCGGCGCGAGCGATCCTCTATGAAATCCTTAGCCACGTAACGCGCCGGCGGGGCCCGGAGAACGACTGACTAGCGTGAGGGGCTTGCTCGGGGCCCCACCACTTCGCCATCTTGCCCGTCCGGAAGCCTTGCGTTGGTAGGATGTCGGTGAAGAGGGGAACGCGGGATCACCAGGTGCGTAGCAGTGTTCTCTCGTGAAATTGCGTGGACTTCTGAATTTCCGCGTCGGCATTTTCTGCTCGAGCGATTAATCAGGTACTCGTCGCTTTCGCGAAATTCGTCCGTTCGGCGGCGCGTTGATCGAATTGCGATCTACCTTGTGAACATTTCCAGTGGTCCGAATCGTTGGAATGCTTTGAATGTTGCAACGGCCGGTTGCAAATTTGTCGACGGAGAAAGAAAATAATTGCGAATACCACACAAGCGAGATCGTAAAAATCGTCATTTTTAACGACGATGTTTTTGAGCGCGCATTCAAAGTCCAGACCTTTTACAAGTTACGTGCTAGAATAGTAAAATATCGAGGATACTATTAAAACGAATTTGGAGACGTGCAATTTGTGTATGACGTGCGATTGAAACGTCAGCATAAATCGGAAAATGCAACTGCAACGAGTTGCATTCGCTGCACTCCCTCGACAGTCGCTTCCTGCCGCTCCGGAATAATCTGTCCTCGCGTTATTGCGCTTTCCTTTTTTTCCCGAAAAATTCAACGAAGCGAGAATTATCTCGTCACGAGGAAACGGTTCTACCTGAGTCCCTTCTCTCCCTATCTCCTGTTCACAGAAAAAAAACGTGCGCGTTCTCACGTATATAAAGTGTACATTTATTCTCTCAATTAGTATATTCATTATTTAATAGTTTATATCTTTTTATTACTTTTCTTTTCAGGAACGCATCGTTTTTATTAACGTGTTCGTTTTTATATGTTCATTTTTATTAACCTGTTTATCTTTACACGGAGAGAATCTCTAAAAATTGCTATAAAATCCTGCGACTGAGAAGTAGATAGTTCATTTTACAGTAATCGACTATCCTCTCACTTCATATGTGTTATTTATATTTTAGACACTGAAATGTACTACTAGAAATTTCGCTGTTTCTAGAGAAATTTACTGTTCCTTAACAAAACAGACTTAAGGTAAAGGTATCAATTCCCGGACATGCACTTAATTCTAGACGTTCTTATTGTTTTTAATACGAATTTAAATACGAATATTAAAATTTTTAACTTAGAATATACATATGTATATATTTTATGTTCTGAAATATTCATATCTAAATATCACAAAACAATGAGAGTGTTTACCAGAATTAGATACGTGTCCGGGCATTGATACTCTTAAACCTTATTAACAGTCTATTTCTGTGTGCACCACTAAAGACATAATAAATTTGAAAAGAATTTATATGAAAAAGATACTATTTTTTCCGTGTATAGGAACCGGTCTTTATCATTAACGTGTGCCGATTTCGCATTGACGAGTCTCTCGACTCCTCGTGCGAATTTCGGGGTCCAACGTCTACCTCGTTGTTGTTAACAAGTCTGGCGAGAAGTCGAAAACTTAGCAGAAACACTCCCATGGCTCTCAATAAAAAGGTACCGTTTTCGCCGTTCGCGGTCGCCACGAGTTCAAGGACCAAGGGCCCATCGGCCGTTGCCGTGCGAGGAAGAGAGAGAGAGAGAGAGAAAGAGCGCGGGTCCTCTCCCGGGCCCGACACTGCGGGCGCGAGCTACACGCATCGTGTGAACTCACCTTTGCTTTCTCGACCTGTATCGTGTGTCCGCGAGAAGCGACCGCAGCATCCCGACTGGAGCGAGATGAGCAAATACTCTTCCTTGCTCCTCCCTGCCCCCTTTTCTGTATCGCTCTTTCTTTCTCCTTCGCCCTTTTATTCTCTTTCTCCATCTCTTTCCTCCTCTTTTCTCTTTCTCGCTTTCAATTGCCCCGTCTCCGTCGCTCCGAGTGGGGCCCAAGGTTTTCAGCTCGGTGAATACGCGGTAACCATGCCGGGAACCTGTTCCCCTCCCTCTCTCCCTCCCTCCCTCCCGCCTCCTCACGCTCAAGGGGGGTCGCCTTAGCTCTTTAAAGACTGCGTTTGTACGTTTCCTCCCGCGTGTCTTTCCCATTTCTCTTCTCTCTTTTTTCCCGCATACGTTATTATCATTGTTATCGCGTAATGCAATCATTAATGGCGGTGTTACCGCCGTTAGACATAATTAAGACCGTTGCACCTACACACTCTTTCTCTCTCTTTCCCTCGCTCGTGCCGTGGATGTTGCCATTTGATCATCGACGAACTTCTCGTAGCGTGTCGTCTAATCATGTTACTTGCTAAGTTAAGGCCGAATCTTCAAACGTTAATCTAACAGGCCAACTTTGCACAACGTGATCGGACGAATTCGTTGTTTCTCCTTGACTTATAGTGCTCGTGTTATAACGTAGTTGATTAAAGAGTCGAGTGAGTAGAGTGCGATCAAGTTACCTCGCGACCACCGTAAAGGACACGCAAACTCGATTTGAGGAACGGCTGTCCGATGAAAAACTTTCGTGTCGTTTTTCCCGATGTTTAACTTGCGTGACGCGCCGTATTATCATATTTATCTACTTGTCCCCTTCAATTGTAATGGACAGTTCAGTCGGCTGACGATTAGCGGCAATCGCCGTCAGAGATGGACCCCAGCCAGCCGCCTCTAGAGCCGTTCGCTCCAGCTGATTGAACGTGCGCTGCGAGCTCATCGAGAGCATGGGGACTTATAGAGTTCCTCAAGTAAGAGTTGGGACACCGCGTGATGATTCCTGATTGGACCGGGCCATATCCATTATTAATAGTGAAAGAGAGATTAACAGGAATAGGAGAGAAGCTGTCAGGTCGGGTCCCACAACTTACTTTAACTGGAATTGAATTTATTGAAGGCCTATCCAGATAAATTTGCATAATCACATTTTGCATACACATAAGAATGTATCAACTAATCAACCAATTGCAGTAAAAGGATGCCTCTTATATTCGATACATTTTACATGAGATTATTTCCTTGTGCATACACACACATGAATGATGCGACTGTGCGAATTTATTCGAATAGGCCTTTAAGGAGTGAAACTCCGGTTAACACAAGCTGTGGAACCAGACTCAAGACTGAAATGACGAAACACGCGAAACAGCTTCTCTCCCACTCACTCGCTCTGTACTCCCCTATAAATGGCGAACGGTGTCGCCAACATAGATGTATGATACTTAGATTGGCATATAACTGAAATATGTTCATTTAGCTGAAAAGATGTCAAAAACTGAAAAGCGACAGCATACTTTATAACACTATTCTGTTATTCTGACATGGAGTGAAGACTTCAGCTCCCTTCCACTGACTATATGTTTACCGCGAAACGAAGCGTCTTTATATTTGCCAAGTGCACCATATGTATTTTCCTGTACATCTTGCAATTCCCCCTCATTCATTTTCACTCCTTCTACTGTTCTATTTCCTCAGCCTCACGGAGGCTTTTCCATTCCATTATTAGGAAAAGACAAGTTAGTAATCGTACAACATTCTTCTCTTTCTATTTCTTGACTTCGCGTTTTGACTATGGGAGCCGTAGGAGTCGCGCGATCTAGATATTACGTCTATGGCCGCCAACTTTTGAGGTACTCCACGGGGATCGAACGGTGCGATTCACGAGAGGACGAGCGACGACGGCGTCGTTATCACGTCGTTATCACGCGGCAGCCGAGTATTCCACTTACCTAATTGCCGGCTGTCCGTCGTGCGCTCTAGGTTACCCTTCCCCGTCACAGCGGCCGTGGCGCGTCGAACAACGCGCAGGCAACATTCATTACCCGCGTCTCGCGGCAATTATTATTTCTAATGAGCGTGCCTCGCGGCCCTGCGCGTACAACCGATCCGTTTCCTCCCCGTCTTTGTTTCCGTCCGTCTTTGTCGCGCGTGATCCGGTCCCCACGGTGGTTCTTGCTTCTGTCGATCGGCCGCCTCGATCGTCCTTCTCCTTCTCTCTTTCTCCCTCTTTTTCCCCGTTCATCAGCCGGTTGCCTTCTTGGGGTAACGCGGTTGTAAAGGAACTCCCGTCTGCGTAACCGTTTCTTCGCCGGGGTCCCACCGTTCCCCGGTAAAGGCGAATCTACACGGCTCGTTTCTGATGGTCGACCTGGACGCGAGTCGGTCAAGAGTGCAAGAGGGGTGATTGGTGTTGAGCTGCCTTTTAAACAGATCGGCTCCAATGGTTTATTCTCCAATCAAGAGTCCTGGTTATGTATGCATCGTTAAATTGTATTGAATAAATCTTGAACAAGACCTGACCTCTCCATACACCTCGGCGAAGACTCGTGCAGCCGCGCTCGCGTCGCGATCTTCTTAGAGCGAGTCGTGTAAGATCGCCTTAAAGTCTCCCTTTTCTTGTTGCCGCAACTCTCTTCGGCGTAGCACGGTGCCGCGTTGGGACTCAGTGCTGTACAGCGCGCGGCCTCTGGGCCCGCGAGAGGAGAGAGGTGGAAGATGAGAAAAGGGAAGGGAAGGAAGGGCTCCGCGGAGAGTTCCGCGGCTACCGAGTCGAGCGAAGGAAATTAATGAATGGCGGCGATCTTGTCGGCGTTAATAAGCGTGCACCTGGGAGCGGAAGTTGCGGGGACGAGGGAGGAAAAGACCCTTCCTCGGTCCTTGCGTGGACTCTCTGGCTGGTGGCGCACGCCGCGGCTTGTTCGTAGGAAGTGCGCGATGTCGTCGTCGAACGTTGAACACGTCCCCAGGCTTCCCGCTTTTCAGGCGAATCACGTAGCGCCTCGGCGTCGCCCACTAAGCACGGTGTCCTTAATGAACGCTTTAACCCTTTGTATCCCACCGGAGGACAGTGCCAAGTACGAGCGGCGTTCTCGCAGGTCGCAGAAGCAATATCGCGTGTCTCGCCGCTCCGCGCGCAGAATATTTCGAGCTACTGTGCGGTGCGAGTAAATTCGCTGATAATCACAGCGCACCCGACAAGTCGCTCTAATGAACCAGGTAAACAAATGACGTGGAACGCATCGGGGGCGCTCTCGGAGAGCAGAGCTCGCCATCGCGAAAATCACGAGTGAACGAACAAACGGTCGCGAGTTTCGACAGAAAAAGCGGCGGGCTTCTCGTCGCTAATCGCGCTTAATCGCTCGTCATTCCGTCTAATTGAGACTGTGGGGGGCTCCGGAGATTTGGCCCTGACATCTATTATCGCCGCCTTCTGCCCCGTGCCGGTGCATAACATTGCACGGGACTGCAGCTCTCCGAATGCACGATACGAGCCGGATCGCGTGTAGATGAATGCGCGAGTGTACTCTGTCTCTTTCTCTCTCTCTCTCTGTTTCTCTCTCTTTCTTTGTGTATATGTATAGGTATGTACCCTCGAGCGAAGCCAGCCTCGACGTTCGTCTTCCCACGAACCCTTTACTGTACGTACGAGTCTCGTTACTCGTTCCGGGATCAGGAAACACTCCCATTAAGGCCGTTTTACACGGTCACGCGAATAAGTCGGCCTGCGTGCGTGCGGCTGTGCGAGTCGATCGCGTGTGAACCACCTGTCCGGTTAAAGGGCACGCGACACAATTGCGACGACTGAACGGCGAACTCGCGAGATCCGGGATTTTTGTCTCTTTCAACGCGATCGCAGTCATTCCTAACGGGAACGATTATTCCCCGCTCGTGATCAAACGCTCTTACGGCGATTTCTGCCGCATTGCATAATCGCGACGTCAGTCAAGACTGCTGAGTACTTAATTCGCAGCGATCACGTCCATTTTTCCGATCATCAGTCATTGATTCATTGTACTTTCTCGGGGAGTGAATAAACATTTATCTCACCTTGGAGTGCTCTGACTTGATAATTTTCAATTGAAAAGTCGGAACATACTTCAAGGTGAGCTGAACGCCGCCACTCGAGACGTTTCTCGTTGCCGACTTATATTTGCGTATCGTGGTCTACGCCGGCCTTCGTCAAAGACTCGGCACGAAACACGTCTTCTATGATAATGAATAGACATATATTCTGCGCTAAAGGCGCAGATAATAATATCATGAATATGGTACGGCACGATGACGTTCGTCGATATTTTGACGGTGAGTCACGTCGACGCGCGAGGATCGTATCGACTGTACTCCTCGACGACGAGGGAGAAAGAGAAGAGCGCGGTTTTGCTCGCTCGGAGAGTCGGAACGGGAGTCCGCGGAGCACCGGCTCCCAGGAGCACCGCCGTAATTATAGCGTTTAGAGCTACCGAACGGTAACTGAAACCTCCCTGAGCGACGCGAGAAAGGGCGAGCTCCTGAAACTGACGTCCCGCGCCTAATGAAGAGGAAAAGCCGAGTCCTCGATGGAATCCACCTCCGAGTGATATCCCGGGACGAATCTTCTGCGCGCCATGCGAGAGACGTCGATTAAATGGATCCCAAAATTCCCCGGAATCAAGAAGATAAATAGTCCTCCGATGAGACATCGGTTTCTGCGAGCCCACTTAACGTAGTGAATCGCATTGGGAGCCATTCAACATGTTCCCGTCTTTTGCATTTTATTTTTCCTCCGTGATCCGCCTGATCGTCCTCTGAGGAATCGGGAAAGCGTGAAAGCACAATTTAATCCGCGAGACCTCGTTGACGAGATAAGCCGGGCGCACGGCTCACATCGATATCTCAAGAGCTAGTTCGATGCCCTCCAGATCGAAAGACGAACGGTCGGTCTTCGCCGCGGCGTGGGCGAGGATGTCGTCGAACTTCCGAAGTTCTATCGACGAGAAAGCTCGCCGTGGCCTCGCGCCTTCGTCTTTGCCCTTACCTTCGTCCTCATCTTCGTCTTCTTCTTCGTCTTCGCCTTCAGTGAGGCTCCACGTGCTGAGCGGGCCCCGCCGTACTTTACGGGCATTGGCCGAACGAATTCGTCATCCCGAGTTTGAGACGTGGCCCGCGGTAACGGACAAGGGATGGCGAGGAGCTGAGGGAACGAAGGGGGACTCGTCTCCGTCGCCGAGCCGGTCGTCGCCGCAGCGCGCGGATCTCGACGCCGTGGAATATATCCGATATCTTTGGAATGGGGCATAGGTCCCAACGACGCGGCGGACATTGCCTGAACCTGTCTCCACGCATCGAAGTCTGCCTGCTCACCTGCATTCCATCAAGAGGGGCCAGGAGGGAGACCTTTCGGGGCCCGCAGGGCCGTGCGGATTGCGCGCCGCACCCAGCATAGATCATTCGCGTGTCTTGCCGAGAGACTAAGTCTAAGTGTTTCTCTTTCTCTCTCTCTCTCTCTCTCTCTCTCTCTCTCTCTCTCT